TTGTCCCTGCCCTGATGTTTGCCGCCAGCAATGATGACGACTCTTCCTCTGTGCGAACCGGCTGGCTGGTGCTGGTGGGCCCAGTGACTGAGGCCCATCAGTGGGGCGCGCTCGAGGCTCGGGCATTGGGCATGTGGGCGCTCAGCCCTGGTTTATTCCTGTGGCGCGTCTGAAGCGACGACATCCCTGCATCCGGTGCCATCAGTTTCCAAAGAACGCGCACCTCGTGCCTGTCGCCATTGCTGATGATGGTGACAAGTCACACAGCACTGGGCGCGCGGTCAGCAATGCGTTCGCACATAGCTTCTCCTGCATTGCTGCAGTATGCAGCAATGCAAGAGAAGCCATGCAGCAATATGGTATCCTATTTGGCTGTGACAGTGTATGTGAGTGGCGCAAGAAGCAGTGGTGCGCACAGGAGCAGTAGCAGTGCAAGGCGGCAAGTGCAAGAGTGGCGGCGCGTGCAAGAGCGGCAGCACGTGCAAGAGCAGCGGCACGTCATCCAATGGTTCCTGCTGCGCTTAGGAGGCACGCGCCGGTCCCTCAGGAACGGCATCTGAGATCCCGATTTACAGGTTACCCGATGATGATGCCACAAAGCTATAACTTGACATCTCAGTGCAGCTCGGTCCATGCATTTCACATCATCCAGATCAAGTACTACACGTATTCATATAATAGAGAGTCCAGCAATATATTCTACAACTGCAGCAACATTACCTTGAGCTTCCTCACTGCCTTCGTCGTCACTTATGTCTCCACCAGTACCACAGATATCATCCGGACGAGTCAGCAATGGCGGGATTTTGTCGACTGTGAGCTGGACAGAGGAAAGGCGTGTCTGACTGACCATATCAACTTCGGCCTCTCCAGACCCTTGAGTGCCGGTGTATCCAGGTAGGTCGTAGACTTGGAAGATGCGCCGCAGTAGGTGGTTGTTGACAGCCTGGCAACGCAGGGCAAAGTCTTGCATGGCACAGTACAGGAGATGCGAGCAGCCCAGACTGGCCAGGGCTGCTTTTAGCAGCTTGTCCTCATCGATAATGGCGGTGTGGAGACGGCAGACCTTGATATTAAGGCACTCGAGTTCTTTGTTCGCACGTACAACGTAGCGATACATTTTGATTGTCTCGTGGGTGATAGGCTACGCTCATGGTTTCTGACGAACATTGTTCCTGGTATTCTGAAGGAGTGAAAACTCCTCCAGGAAGGCGTAGTGCATGACCTCTGACCAGTCGAGCATTGGCTTTGATGGGTTCATGGTTACAGCGACGGCATTGTAGTTGGCGACAGTCTTCTTGATTGTCTTGCTGCGGACCTGCAGTGATTTTGCAATATGTGTGCGCATCTTGTAGCCTGTGCAACTAAGTCTTGGTGTAGGATAAACCTGAAAATCACATACCGGTATGTGAAACATTGAGCTTTTGAAGCTCAAATAACTGCTGCACGACAAGACAATGAAGCTTATCGAGGGCGCGCCAATACGTCCGTTCGCAAATGTACTTGAGAGCCTCCTGATATACAGATGTCATTGGATCCCAATGTTCCTGGATGTCCATCTTGATTTCAAGAGCGACAACCTCTGCACTGATGCAATCATATTGTTCTGCCACAACTCGCTGCTCCGTCTCCAGCTTGTGCGTCTGGGTAACATCGCGGGAATAAGCCTGTTTTTCAGCTGATGGTGCATAGGATAAGAATGTGGTCTGCGTCCGTTGGAACTTCAGCTCCAAGTCGTGCAGCTTCTGGAGCAGCTCAATGTACAATGTTAAGTGAATGTCGTAGTCAAGCTCATTGCCCAGCGTGGCAAAATACACAAGCTCCTCGTCACGCCACTGGGTGATGTCACCTGCAGTGATTCCCTACTGCTCCATGCTTTGCCTGAGGGTCTGGCCTTCAATGTCAATGATCTCCAGCACCTGCATGTAGTTGTCGAGAATGAAGTCGCCCGAGTTCAAGTATTTGTCGGCATCCCATTGCTTGAGAAATGCTTCAATCAAAAGTCTACGGCAGTAAGCAGAGGCATACCAAATGACAGGGGCGAGATCATTCAACCTGCTGAAGACTCTTTCCAGTGGAAGTGAAATTGGCAGATGTGGGAGTGCGAGTAGCCATGGAAGGCATTCACACACATGCGCGTGTGTTTCTTGATGTACTCAGGGCCAAGAGAGCTGTTCTTGACAGTTATTTCCGCGGAACAGCCAATGTTGTAGCCTGCAAGCCACTCATCAGGCATTTTTTTGAGGGCCTTCACAACAATTGCAAGAGGATATTTAGCTCTATTTAGCATATGTTAGAATAGTAGTGTAGAGGAAAGCTCAAGAACTCACAATTTGCTGCTACACACCATATTGCACAGCCAGAGAATAAATCCATGGCGGCACACAGAAGCAAACACGCCCGACTCCTTATACATCTTCTACATCTTCTTCTTTGCCTCGGCCGCAGCCACCTTCCAGTTATCAACGCATTGATCAAGAAGTTTGTGCAGGAGTGCGGCCTGCACCTTGTCGATAATGGTTGTGTCACCAGCAGGCACAGTAGAGTTGCCCATGTTGCCAACAGGTGCTACAGAATCGCTTGCAGGGGTCGCCATGGCAATGTTGATGTGCTCATTACTGTTGTCAGCTTGAGTTCGCTTGGTGCTTTCTTCAAGGAGTGCCAAAGCGACACTGTCCATGGGGTCCTCTTCCAGCTCGTCAATGTCCTTTCAATTGGCCTCTTCTCTGTCTTCGTCTTCCTTGTCGTTGATAGCATTATGGACTTGGTGCCGGTGCACATCTAGCTCCTTAGATTTACGGCCCGGGACCTCGTTTGCGAACTGGTTGACGTAGGATGTGGACAGCCAATAGGAACTGTCACCAAAAGAGCGCATGTCGCCTGTCACCCGGTTTGCCACCATTGCCATCCGCTTGAGGCTGTTGTTACTGTCAAGGGACCATAGTCGACTAAATGACAAAGGCGGTTCATCTTTAAGCGAAGTTAAATGTGAGATTTGTGCAACTTTAGACATATGGTGCACGTACCTTATAGCAGCATGCGCGGCAGGCGTTCAATGGCCGCCAGTCAGAGGCGTCCCATCTAAGAATGGCATGCAACCATTTCTCCACAATCTGTGTGATGCGGAGATAGACTTCGAAAGTATCCGCAAATACCTTGTGGAGGTATTCACGATATAGAATCTGTGCGAGATATTAATCAGTTGTAACCAGGTCAGAGTATAGATACGTACTATGTAGTAGTCACAAACCACCTTGGCAGATGCTTCAATACTGAATGAAGCTTTTTATTGGCAAAGTCGGTATAGCAGATCCAGCATCTTGACAGAGACGGCCACTTCGGGCCATCTGGGTGTCTTCACGATGTACCCATGCTCAAGCAGATCAAAAGCAGGTGAGGTGCTGTCAGCAGGGTGAAAGACGGTGATCTCATTTTGAAGGGTGAAGATGTCGTAGGTTTTGATGCAATATGGGAGTCGCACTGATTCGTCAATGGGCTGGGGGCTGCGAGCGTGAGTGTCGTCAATCAAGGTGAAGTGTGTCTCCGTGGACCAGGGCACAGTTGACTCTGCCCTGCTTGGTGAGCATTTGGGAGGCGAATTTGATGCAGGATACTTCCATCGGAGGAACTGGTCAGCCAGGGCATTGAGAAGAAGGCTCCAAGCAGCCTCTTCACACATCCGCTGTTGGTGCCACTGTCTAGTTTGTTTATACCAGCGTAGCTTCCACCTGTAAGCAGTTTTGTGAGCTCCATGAAGGAAAGAAACGGGCAGATTAATGACCTACTGCAATTGCAGCACATCGCGAATTGCGTGTTGAAATTTGGGTGCTGCGGGCATATCATTGTTGACACCATCTTGATTGATTCCGAGTCGTTCCAGGTCCTCTTGTGCAGCGAGATCGATGTCCATAGGCTGTTCTTCTTGTGTGCCTTGTCGAAGGAGGTTGATGGTGTCTTGACTATATCCTATTAACACGCCGTCAGCGATGCAACGTTAGACAGACAGATTGTGTACAGACTCACTGGTAAGAGCTTTCTTGATCTGCTCTTCCACCCGAGCCTTCTCTTTTGCGAGTGCTGCACGCCCCAATGTCTTTGATATTGCTTCTCCTGCTGTTGCTGTTGTACAAAGCCTGTGCTCCCACAGTTTGACGAAAGTCGACTTTTTCACTCCCTTCGTGCCACCGCTTCTTACTGATGAGGTCGACATGGGATCCGGACCACATATAACAGATGTTATTGTGGCTTGGAGCGAGGGAGAAGGAGGGGAAGGGCAGGATGATGCAGTGTCAGTCGAGGTTGCGAGTTAACATTGCGAGGGCCAGTTTGCCGCTCAAATCCTCATGTTCATCTGATGTGCACGACCACGTCTACACGTCTGTGGCTCGCCGTGCATTTACCCTTCGCATAAAAATGCCCAAAGAACTTTGTAAAAGTAGCAAACCACCCACACCACGCAATAAAATCAGGGTGGTCTTATTGGGTAGCAGAGAGTACTCAGGCGTGTTCAAATGGAACGAGTGAGTGTTTTGAACTCTCGCAGCCTGTTCTATGCTGAATACTTAGTCTGTAAATGGCCTCCATATTCTACCGGCCCTGATGCCAGTCATTTCCCCATGGCAGTTATCTGCACTACCGCCTGGCAAGTAACTTCTCTTAAAGTGCTCCTTCCTTACTTCCAAATGATCTGCAACACGGATCTCTCCCAACGCCAACTGATCGAGGCAATCGAAGCACTTGCATCTCTGCGCAATCCAGTGGTGGCCAAAGCTTTGAACACTAACAGGCAATTTGATCACTTTTATCCCTGTCTCGCTCTCAACGATGACCGAGAGGCTATCTACATGACATGGTGTGTATGATGATCTCTCGTTCAAAGTGGCCTTCATTGCTCAGTTATTACCTGTAGGGCAGACACACGTCCCCAATACCAAGGCCAGGAAAACCCCCGGTTGCTGAAGAAGCTGCCAACCTTGCTCTCAGTGATCAAGTTCATGGTACTGCAGGGCAAAGATCAAATGGAAGTGGAGTCTATGAAAGCTCGCGGTGCAAGTTCAATAAATTCCTACAGGCTATCACAGATAGTAGGAAGACTGCTGCAAGCCGAGCCAAGAAGAGTCCGAGCAGAAGTCACAATGTAGGACACAACGCGCCAAATCCAGACTCTCTGCACAGCCATGCGCCTCATCAAGACAAGGGCAAGAGCGGACATCAGCACTCTCATGCAGCCCCTGGGCCATCTGCTGAATATGCAGCAGGCCCCCGTTGAGGTTTTTACCGATGACAAGGTTTCGGAGGCCGCGGCGAAGCACACTTCTCAGAAAGGCAAGGCAAGACACAGTGAGTATTTGCGTTTCATTTTGTGTGATATAAAGTCTAACGCACTGACTATCCAGCATCCGAGACTGGCAGGCGTGAGTCTCACATTCTCCCAGGGTACTCTGGTGTCTCCGGCAAGGTCAACATCAGCAATGCCGAGGAGGAGCACCAACCACCCCCACGTCACAAAGATATGTTTACACAGGACCCTCACAGTATAGTGCCCACTGACATAATACACAATTTGCTCAACCTCCGCTGTAGTGTATCAAAATTACCAGGACTTCACTGGGAAAATCACCAGCCATACCTACAAGTGTCCCTTTGACCTCAGGACCGACATCCATGTGCCGTCTCTCGGCACATTCCTTGACGACTACGTTGATCATTTCGGCTATGAAACTAAGTTCATTCACAGGGTCTACAAGGCGTCAGAGCAGTCAATGGATTGATACAGCTTCATGGCGCGCACAAGTTGCTTTTTATCTCAGCGGGAAGTGATATGGTTCTACTCGCATATTGATAAGTTTTCGGGCCCCTTTGCAGCTCCCCTTTGCAGGTGTCGCCTCATAGCTAACTCTTAAGCTTGAGTTATCACTGGTCTTACTTTGTATACAAGAATTGTTGCTGCACGTGACTTAGTTTACCACATTCAAAGTTCCCAGGAGTGAGCGTCAAATCATTTATTATAATAGAGAATAAGGTTGCACATCAAGCCTCTCCCACACCCACAGTCAGCTGCCTTCCTCCGTCTGCTGCTGTGTGCCACCGTCCGCCAGCCTCATGACTGACGGTGATGTGGACTTGCGTCGACACACCACGAGGGATACTGCGTGGATCTAATTAGAAGGCGGCGCCGACGAGGTCTGGTGACTAGTGCGTTAGCTTGTTCAGCTAGCCCAATAAACCAAGTGTATTAGTGACTATTCTAATGTATAGACAAAGGCTTACCTAGCCCAATAAACCAAGAGGTTGAGATGGGGCTAGATAGCGACAAAGGGGGTCCTTATATACTAGTCAGGCGGCGCACAGACCAGGTGTTACATAAGCGACGGTGCTATGGTGGCTGCTAGTGTCTAGGGGACTTTGACGGAGAAATGAAGGCCGGTGTGTCATAGCTTATGACGTTGTCGGGCCGACGGGGATAGAATGTCCGTTGCCAATCGGACTCGGAGATAAACGGGGGTAGGCGTGTCATGGCGTATGACGTTGTCGGGCCGACGGGAATCGGATGTCCGGTGGAGATCAGAGTGCGGCTGTTACCGAGGAAGTGTGATGCGGCAGTGAGGCGGCGGCGATACAGGCGCGTCTGATGCGCTGATGCATGCCTGTCGGTGATGCGTTTCTCAAGGTATTAGCGCGCGGCTAGGACTTGTAAACTGGCACCAATGCGCCGACAACGTTTGGAGGGTCGTATAAACGTGGAATAAATCGGAGAAAATGGAAATAAAATAGGAGGCCGGGGCTACGCCCACGACAGACGGAAGTGTGACGCAAGTTGCCGAAGCACTTTTAGAACTGTCACCAGTACGAAGATATTCACAACAGGCAAGATTTATTCGAAAAGGCGTGAAAAGGCGTGTTCCCTGGCGCCATTGGAAACGGCGCAAGAGGCAGCCAGAAACGTAGGCGGAGAAGGAGATGAGGGCTGCAGATCGTGAGAAAGCTCGAGATAACCTCAAAACACTCCTTGGTGAGGCTCAGGCGAAGGTTTGGGACATTGTGGAAGACCTCCACAAGCAGACCAAGAACCATTCAGCAATATATTTTTACCATCTTCTCATACAGCACTCTAGAAAGACGGTGAAAACCTGTGAGATTAACCCCTGGAATGCATATCTACACATGCACCTGAAGCAGATTAACAAAGGTGCGTGCAAAATGTTTGATGGCATTGCTGTGTTAATAACAGCACCAAATAGAGACTCCCGAGGGCAGTTCTCGACGCAAGCCCACAGAGCTCGCAGCCATGCTAAAGGCCGAGTGGGACCAGAAGACACCAGATGAGAAGAACAAGTGCACGCGAGAGGCAAGGAAGGAGCTGAAGGAGCAGCACTAGACGAAGAAGGCAGGAGGTCATAACGTCCCACTTAGCGTGTTCCACAATGTACACACAACCATCGCGGTGATCAAATGTGAGGTACGTGGCCGCACAAATGTCCTTACAAACAATATTTACTTTATGAGCAGCTCATCGCACTGTACTACTAAACTGGCATCAAGATCTTCCTCATGATGTTGCGTGGTGATACCCTCCACTATGCGAAGCCTCACCTATCCTATACCTCAGAAATATTTGAACAATTCTTTCAGATGAGCTTCAGTGTCAAGCTGGGAGACTGGATGCAAAAGCTTGAGTGTTACAAGCTCAAAAAGGTACCAGGTACACTTGCGCCACTACCTCTCATCTACACCGCTGATTCCATCTGATACAGGGGTGAAAGAGAAGACTGAGGCCAATCAGGCTGAGCTCAGAAAGCACATTGCGGCAATCATTTTGAGCAACCTGCGTACAATTCTCTTTGTTCCAGAGTGCTCACCAAGCTAACCACCATTCCGGAACCCTGTAGAAGAAGCTGCGCATCCGCACACTGTTGAAAAAATGAACTACCTGAGTTTTGACTCTGCCATCACACTTAGGTATGGTGTCGTCTGCGAGCATTACCCACTGAACTATTTTTGTGGTCCTGGTGGTATTACCACTGTCCCCACCCTTCGTGTGCTCTTCAACAGCTGGCATAGCAGAACAACACAGTTCTGCCATCTCTTGCAAGCTGAATACAATGCCTGGGTAAAGGAGTATGAAGCTCGAAGTCGTGCGGGATCAATTCCGGCAGCCCCCGTCTCTGTTTCTTCGGCCATGGCGCCAGTACCTCCACTCTCTATGGGGGTGTTTCACGGCGTCTTCGCGCTGCAGTCGACGCCAGCACTTCAATCTGCTGCCGCACAGCCTCAGGTTGTGTTGCCGCAACCTGCCGCACCCTCCATATCTCTGCAGCTTGCCACTGCTCAGCCTGAGATTACCGCCACACAGCCTGTCATACAACCCACAGCTCAACCCGAGGGCATCATTGCGCAGCTTGAGTCCACTGTTGTGCAACTAACCATCACGTTCATGCAGCCCACTGTCATTGTCACGTCGCCGGCACTTGTGTTACACGGTGCACCTTCGGCTTTCACATTTGTTCCTACCATTGTCACTAATCCGGCCACTGTTCAAGCTCTGGTTCCGACTGCAGCAACGACACGTACACACGCGACGGCGTTTGGCAATGATGGTGCCAGTGCATTAGCACTCACTAAGCGAAAGCGTTGAGATGCAGGTGTTAAGTGCAATCCAAATATCCGGACATTGCGGAAGCAGCAAGCTCAGGTGGCATCCCAGGCCTCATAGTCACTACACAATGTATTTACTCATCATGCTTGTTTATTTGAACACTAAAAAGTATATCTGTGGGCGCTTTGAGCTATGAGATGGACTGTCGCCTAGCGCACAGCTAGGGGTCTCCAACACAGCTCAGGCTTTGTGGCGTTGATGGGCGTTGTCATGCATAGGCCACTCCATGCAATCCGGGATCTCAGATGCCATTCCTGAGGGACCGGCGCGTGCCTCCCAAGCGCAGCAGGAACCGTTGGATGACGTGCCGCTGCTCTTGCATGTGCTGCCGCTCTTGCACTTGCCGCCTTGCACTGCTACTGCTCCTGTGCGCACCACTGCTTCTTGCGCCACTCACATGCACTGTCACAGCCAAATAGGATACCATATTGCTGCATGGCTTCTTTTGCATTGCTGCATACTGCAGCAATGCAGGAGAAGCTATGTGCGAACGCATTGCTGACCGCGCGCCCAGTGCTGTGTGACTTGTCACCATCATCAGCAATGGCGACAGGCACGAGGTGCGCGTTCTTTGGAAACTGATGGCACCGGATGCAGGGATGTCGTCGCTTCAGACGCGCCACAGGAATAAACCAGGGCTGAGCGCCCACATGTCCAATGCCCGAGCCTCGAGCGCGCCCCACTGATGGGCCTCAGTCACTGGGCCCACCAGCACCAGCCAGCCGGTTCGCACAGAGGAAGAGTCGTCATCATTGCTGGCGGCAAACATCAGGGCAGGGACAATGGTGCCTGGTGTGCCATCAGGGGAGGGTGGTGCTGATAAGTGGGACTGATGGGTGGGACGCCAAGGCCACGTCATCATTCAGACCCTTGCCCCGGCGTTCACCCAACCACGCGTGGTGGGACAGACCAGAGCCAAGTTTCTGAGCCTTGCACGTCC